TTGCTTCGTCCAATTAGAACGACTTACGTTCTGAATATTCATTTATAAATAATGTTATTCGACTGATGGCTTGAATATTCATGAAATAGTACAGTGCCAATTGTAATTTTAATTTTGTACGTAATATACAAATTTAATTAGTATCTACGTGAGTATATCATTTATTTTCCAGATGTGAATATTCTTATGTAATGAATTCTGTTTTTATTGATGGTAAGATTATTTTTTGTTGGAGCCTTTGCAATAATACCAATTATAATTCCAACTTCCTACGTACAATTAAAGTTTAATTAACTTCTGAAGTGAATACATAATTTATTTTCCAAAATTCAATATTTTTATATAATAAATTCTTTTTTTATTGATATTAAGATTATTAATTATTGAAACCTCAAGTACAATACCAATTCTAATTCCAATTTCCTACGTACAATTACAGTTTAATTAATTTCTTCAGTGATTGTATTACTTATTTTTTTAAATTAAATATTTTCATACAATAAATTCTTTTCTCATTGATATTAAGATTATTAATTATTGAAACCTCTAGTGCAATACCAATTCTGATTCCAATTTCCTACGTACAATTAAAGTTTAATTCATTTCTTTAGTGAGTATTATTTATTTTTCAAAATTAAATATTTTCATACAATAAATCACTTCTTTACTGCTAGTAACATTATTAGTTATTGTAGCTTCCAAGGCTTCGATACGAAAGATACTGTATTATTTCCGAAACGTCCAAAGCTCGTCGGACGAAACACTCGTGTTAGTGGAATACGACAAGCTTTGTGCTCTGCCGTTGGATGGTTCGATAAATTTTAAGAGCATGACACAACCTAATGTCGAGCGTCGTATCAACTCCTCGAGTGCAACATCCGCACTGTCGGGACCATTAATTTCCCTGCTTTGATCAGTTAATTGCCCGGCCTCAATTGTGTCAGTTTTTGATTTATTATTAAAGGAAAACAATCTAATCACTCCTGGAACAATGTTGATCGTGATGAGCATCGTGCAAACGTGAAAATATTCATTGCATACGCAGGAGGACTTTAAAGTGCAGTTAACAAATTTCATAACATCGTTTCTCGCCCAGAAATTAAAAAATATTTCAATGAATCTTCTAGTTTCCTTTAATCTAATAAATAGAATAATTTTTATTCTGTATAAAACTGAAAAATTCATTTTGTTAGCTCTAGAAATCAATTTTTCTCGCATCTTTAATCCTTCGAAGTATCCATTATTCCCGACTCTCCTCCATTTTCAAAATGGAGAACCCAAAATGGCGGGGAAATATTCAAATTTAAAACAAATTCGAGGTCGATTGAAAGCCACTAAATCAATTCTTTTACCTAGCATATTCTTGCCACAAAATATTCCAACAACACATCAATACTCAAAGTTACTTAAGAATCTTCCAACAACTGAAAATCACCTCGAACAACCTAACCTCAAAGCTCCAAACCTCGATTCCCAAAGAATCAAACCCCAAGCCAACACAGAATATTCCCATGAATAAATCAACCTTCACCAAAATGTCAATCACAAAAAATAACCTTCGATGAAAAACCATATCAATTTTATAATTCAACCATCAATAACAAAAGTTCGCTAGAATTAACACGTTGAATGTCATAGGGGTCACCGATGACCAAATCGAATTACTATGGTTCACTCAATGAAACGATGATTATTTGAAAACATTTCTATTATAAACAACGCAACCTAATACAGTGACATTCAGCTAAATGAACATGTAATAATCATAATGCAATTCAATCGAACGATTTAACACTAGATGGATCAAAATAACCCATTCCTGACTTCTGCTTTTACCATTATTAAAAACATAACAGATTCGCCTCTGAGAAGTGGTTCAACAAATTGATTTAGCAATACACAAACCGAATTGTAAATCCATTGTCGTTTCGATAGATGCACTATTGCAGTTTCTATAATTTCAAAAAGTCAGTGCTTGGTAGTTCTAGTGTTAATATTATACTTTTTACATTGTGCATTTTGCTCGATGAAATCGTGCGGTGTTCAACGTGTTGAAAGATTCAACTGAATCTTCCACGTGCTACATTTTTTAACCCTTTGCACCCAGTAGTTTTTCACTAGAAATATTTTAACATTTTCGGATGAGATAAAATCGATATTTTGTGAAACTAAGTCGACGAGAAATCAGGCGTACATTGAGGAACAAAGCTATTTTATTTCAATATTTCTCAACCTGATACATTGTCGGAAATATAATATTAAATATCAAATTTTATAGTTTTACTGTATGAAATCAAGTGGTGAGTGAGAGTCACCTCTCGAGTGCAAAGGGTTAAAAATCGCTGTAACGTCTTGCACAAATTGGAAAGGAGGTTTCATTAATTTTTGACTGACAACAAAGATGTCCGAAGGCGAGATACTTAAAATGGCGGTTTTCGAACTGGTTGAACAGAGTGTTCGCCGCGCGTGACGTGTCCCGGGGGACCGGTAAAGCCCGACAAATGCAGATTTCATAACATGACGCGCTTTGTAAACGTGCCGTCGAGCTCTCTCCGCGTCTACTGCAGGTCTTCGACGCGTCGGCAAATCCGTCGAGGGCATCGAGATTACTCGGCTGCGCCCACGGGGAAAGGGAAATTTCGATGTCCCGTTGCAACAAGTTATCTCCGATCAGATCCTATCAATCACGATCGCGTCTGGCTTATCTCGCGATCTCTTCGACAGCTCCCAGCGAAATTTTCATATTTAAGACACGTCAAACTTTTTCAACAGGTTGCTCGATCGAGGCACCATGGCATTTCGAGATTAAGGAGTTTGATTGAACGATCGAATGTCAACTTTAGGGAAATCGAATTGCGAGTTTGGAAGGTTTATCGCTCGGTACCCTTTTTCGTTTCGATATTGGAACAGTGTTTTCTTAATTGAAATATTGAAATAGTAGGTTTTTCATTGAAATATTGAAATAGCAGGTTTTTCATTGAAATATTGAAATAGTATTTTCTTAATTTAAATATTGAAATAGTACAATATTTTATTAATTGAAATACTAGAATAGTATTTTCTTAATTGAAATATTGAAATAGTACAATAGTTTATTAATTGAAATACTGGAATAGTGTTTTTTTAATTTAAATATTGAAATAGTAGTTTTGTAATTAAATACTGGAATAGTATTTTCCTAATTGAAATATTGAAATAGTACAATAATTTATTAATTGAAATACTGGAATAGTGTTCTTTTAATTCAAATACTGAAACAATAACTTCTTATTTAAATACTGGAATAGTGTTTTTCAATTTAAACATTGAAGTAATAGCTTTTTAATTTACTGGAACAGTGTTTTTCAATTTAAATATTGAAATACTAATGTTTGATTGACGATCGCTTCTCGTTGGATTCGCGATTAACAGGAAATATCTCAAGCAACGAACACCGAAGTTTCCCAATCCAAGTTGACTAACTGATTTACCTATATCTTCTGCCTCCTCTTTAAGTACCATGATGCAACATTAGTCAGACATTGGCCCCACATTCTTTCCTCCCATAATCGCCTTCACACCTGGTGTACACATGTTCCTCTTCCTCTCACTGTCACTCCCTTCGTCGATCACAAATATAAATCCTCTCAAAAGTCTTCGCCCAGGTTCATCGATAAACTCCCCAAGAATCAACAAGAAACTTCATTCTCTCCGACCATCTCAAACTCTTCAACAATACTCTCTCCCTCGTAGCATCCCCATATGCACTAAAAACTTCTTCGAATCTTCCAGAACGAAACAATCAGCAACCTCTCGATCCTCCGATTCCCATTCGAAATCCCCGAAATTTTCTCAATCAGCTACCACCTTTACGATCAAGGCGTATACACCCCCACACGTGTTACGAAAATACAATTTCCACCCCCTCGCACAATAAATTAATCCCACTGTCGCATGGGACACTAGAATTTTCTTTGTTCCCGACGTTCAAAAAATCTCCCGACGCGGATTTGTAGCGTGGTTCGTAACTCGAGCGAAACGCGTAGGGGTTGGCGAACGATCGCGCCCCTAATACACACGGCGAAGCCGAAGGGGCGATCGAAGGTGCGGCACACGCGATAGTCTCCGAGGCAGGGAAACGGCAGCAATCTTAAATCCGCACTGCCCGGCCGCAATCACGCGCGACTGTCGACAAAGCCGTCGCGGTCACAACAAACCCTGCGGAACGGGGGTACCACGAGGGGTGGCGTCGCGACGCCGTCGCCACGGCGACATCCGCCCACGGGCCGACGAAACAAACCATAAAAGACGATCCGATAAGACAGTACGTCGAATCGATCCGAAATCCTCCGGAGTTTCCTATATTACCCGCGTCTCGCATCCGTTGTACAATCAATTCTCGTGCTTTCCATCTGACAGTACGTCGATCACTTATTAACGATTACCTGCTATATCAGATACAGGTACTTAACTCTAACATGCTACCTTGTCGATGGTAGGTATGCGATTAGATACAGTGCTCTACTTTATCTTGCCTAGATAGTAGATCTGCGTTATCTACTACAGGTGAAGCAGGAAACTACAATTGGTAGGTTTGTTTAAAAATGAGAATCTTTCTGAAATTTTTGTTTATTTATTCATAATTTGATCTTGTTCGAAGTTGCTGCAGGAGTTTATAGTATAGTGTGCGACATAAAACTGGATATTATGGTTTTTCAGTTTCGGAAGTGAATTAAAATGAGCATGTTTCGGACAGAGAATCGACTTCGTAGAAATTGAAGAGCAAGAATCATCACTTACTACAGGTGAAGCAGCAAACTGCAATTGGTAGATTGTTTAAAAATGAGAATCTTTCTGAAATTTTTGTTTATTTATTCATAACTTGATCTTGTTCAAAGTTGCTGCAGGAGTTTGTAGTATAGTGTGCGAGATAAAACTTTTCAGTTTCGGAAGTGAATTAAAATGAGCATGTTTCGGACAGAAAATCGACTTCGTTGTAATGGAAGAGCGAGAATCATCACTTACCCGATAGCCGGCCATTCTCCGTCGGTGGTGGTTGTTGGGGCAGATGTGCTTTTATTCGGCAGGCTCAAACGTGGCCCGATGCGCAGCGTCATTGGCCGTCGTCTTCGCAAAGTGTAATCTGTAACAACGATGCCATGAAAGATCTAGGTACAGTCTGCGGGAGGACCACGCCATCTCCAGAGATTGGGTAATGCGAACCCTGGAGCAAGGTTGCAGGGGAGCAGGAATCAATTTGAACAGATTGCCGACTAGGGACTGTAATGGCGGTGAATTCCGACCTGACGGGTCCCGCAGGGTAGTTACACGTGGAATCCCAATTTCCTTGCTTATTCAGGGCAAAAGTTTTGATCGAGTAATCTTTCCGTGGGTGATCATAATTTTTTGGGAAATCTAATCCCCGGGTTCGCGAGGTCCGGCGTGTTATTAGTCCGGCTTGACCCTCTGATTTTCGAAGGGTTAATTACCAGGAGAATCTGATCTTTCGAGGTTACAAAGCTTGGTCAATTAGTAATTAGACGAATGTGACCCTTCGAGCTTCTAAAACACATTCGTTAGACGAACCGTTCGAGTTTCTAACGGAAATTATTAACAATCTAGCATTTACAGAAGTTAGCATATTATTAGCAAGATAAATAATCTTTCAATCTACAGAAACCAGGAATTGATGGTTACAAAATTCTAACCTTTCGAGATTATGGATTTCACTGAATTATTCATTAAAGAGATTCAACCTATTAGTTACCGTAGCTCAAATGTAATTAGAAAACTGCAACTCATTTACAAAGTTGATTAATCAGAAAAATTCGACTGTAACAACTTCTATAATTAACAATTTTACACAGTTCGTTCAGAAACTTAATAAGCAATTTAAAAATTCTCTCTTGCCTTCGAGATTATGGAATTCGCCAAATTATTAATTAGAGAAATTCAATCCTACAATTTCCGTAACTCAAATATAATTATAAAACTGCAACCCGTTTACAAAGTTGATTAACCAGAAAAATTCGACAGTCATAACTTCTATAATTAACAATTTTGCAGAGTTCGTTCAGAAGCTTAGTAAACAATTTAAAATTTCTCTCTCGACTGTCCTTCATCCCTTAGTTGCCCACTAAATTAATTGAATTGTCAGGGAAGTTACGGTTACTTCAGCGAACTTCTGTTACGTTAACCGTCCGTGAGCAACGAATTAATGGAAGGCACAATGGAACAATTAAGAATGGCTAAACGAAGCACGGTGGAATGCGTGATCCTTTAAATGCAGCGGATCGGCGATATTTCCGGGACACGTAATGAACGGATGTTGAATGGCTGTGATTCAACACGTTTTTCATTTATATCCGCGGGAGTGAATTTAACGATAGCCAACCGACCTGAAAATAGATTTAACCATTGTCGTGGCTCGCGGCTCGATAAAGCATTCGGAATCCGTCAGTAATTCGACTCCGTTCCCGCGGCATTCCTACTGAAAAAGTTATAATTGCGACAAAAATTCGCTCCGCCGGTATTGCAAAGGTAAAAGAACACCGGAGCCCGGTAATACGTTTCCTCGTTAGAGAAACATCGCGCCTTTTCCATCCACGGCGACATCGGTTAACGTTAACATTCAGCTAAATTAGAAACACGTAAAAAAGTCACGTTCATTTTAGTAAAAATAAATTTTCCCCTGTGACAAAGGCGCTTCTTTAATTCTCGAGGTATGGTCGAAACATCAAGTCATCTACTTCGTTGGTGTTATTTGTAATTACGAAGCAGTTAATTTGTTTGGTATTTTTTCTTATGAAATGATTGAAATGTATTTTTGGTATTAGTGAATTTAGTAGTTTCTTATAAAAGTAAAAGTGTATTAATATTTGTAGAAATTTTATGTGGATCATTTTGATTGATTTGATAGTTTCAATAGTAATTTTATTATAGATTATTTTGCTTATTTAATGGAAAACGATGGGAAACGTTTGAAGTTATACTTTTATATAAGGTAATTACAATATTGCAAATAATTCTAGAGAAGATTTCTGATCAAGGATTGGGGAGGATTGGTTTCCAGAAAATCCGTTATTATTGTTTCTTTTTGATACGTTGAAATATTTCGAAATAATTGGATTGTGACCTGTTTCGAGCAATCTCTGATGCACGACATGATTCACCAATATGGGAGCGAGAGGTTGCACGCGTGTAGGGAAATTGAAGTTTACCGTTGGCGGAGCACAGGGAGTTCCGCCCTTGAAAAACATGCGGCGACAAGTACTGCGGGTGCGGGTTCGTCGGGGTTGGAGGCGTAGTTCGACTGCTGGGGACTGACATCGTTGTCCAGGGGGGTGCTGCATCTTTGCCGACGTTGTCCTCCGCAGCCGACGTGGGTAACTCATTGGTTACCCTTACTTCGATTCCCACAGACTGAAAATAAACGAATTTCAGCTTTATTAGCAGCGTGATTTCGCTGAATTTAAAATTTATAATTCTGAAGAATTTGGAAGTTGTGACTTGAGAGTTTAAGGAATTTAGAATTTGTGATTTCAGACTTTACAGGATTTAGAATTTTAAAGGACTTTGGATTCGAAATTTTGAAGAATTTTGAAATTGTAATTCCGAAGAATTTAGAATCTGTGATTTGAGACTTTGAAGAATTTAGAATTTTGTGATTTGAGACTTCATAGAATTAAAAATTTTGAATTTTGTAGGACTTTGGATTTGTAAGTTTGAAGGATTTAGAAATTGTAATTCTGAAAAATTTAGAATCTGTGATTTGAGACTTTAAAAAATTTAGAATTTGTAATTTTGAAGAATTTAGAAATTGTAATTCTGAAGAATTTAGAATCTGTGATTTGAGACTTTAAAGAATTTAGAATCTGTAATTTAAGGCTTTAAAGAATTTAGAGTTTGTAATTTTGAAGAATTTAGAAATTGTAATTCTACAGAGTTTAGAATTTGTAATTTTGGGAATTTAAAATTTGTAATATTGAGAATTTAAAATTTGAAAATTTATTTATTTGAAATTTAGAGAATTATTTGTGTTTTAGATGAAAGGACTTGAAACTAAAGGAACATTCTATCTTCGTGTAACTTTTTGAAAACATTGAAACGTTATTATTCATACATAGCTAGAATTCTACAGTGTGCTTCTAATATCCTTGTAATGTCTGCAATTGTTCCTTTAATGACATGTTTGTTGCAGCTGCCTTTCATTCTGTAACAACTGGACCGTGGATACTTATGCAAACGTACTTATGTAAATCCTAGTGTTGCAATATCTTTATTCTCTACCTTATTTCCTCGTGCTTCATCTTATTTTCCTTGGATAATAAATTTTTCCACCATTATGGAAACAGTCAATGAATAAATTGTTACTCTAGGGTCAAAATAAAACTGCAAAGAATTAATATATTTCTCTTAATAATGATACTTTCAAGAGATCATAAACAATTAACAATCTTTATTACTTATTAATTCAATTCATGAACTACTATTCCTCAAGCAAAATAAAACTAGAAAGAAATAACATCTTCCTCTTAACAATATTAATTTTATAAAATCATAAAGAATCAAACATTTTCATTAATTATTAATTCAATCTATAAATTATTATTCCTCAAACAAAATAAAACAGCAAAGAAATAATATCTTTTACCCAATAATAATACTTTCAGGAAATCATAAACGATTAAACATTTTTATTTATTCCTTTTATATAAGTATACTATTGTTCCTGAAAAAATATCTATAATTTTATGCATGTAGTTCTGTGAACAGATTCTAAGATCCAAGGAGAAAGGTAACCGAAGGAAGAATGTGCAATAAATTTTCTTGAGAAAGAGATTCTTTTCAGAGGGAAACTAGTTTGAAGGTATTTACGTTATACACAGTGAGAAGTCAGTCGTGCGGCGTGGTACACTTTCAATGTGATTTCCTCCGAAACGATTTCTCCCATGAGGAATGCCTACATCAAGATTTACAATAATTTCCTTCTCTCGCTGGGAACTTATAAGATTTTTCCCGCGGAACATTACACAATTTACACGAAATTACTTTTATCAGAAAACATTTTAACAAAAACATTTCAATGGCTTACACAAAATTTATTTTCGAAAGCAATTAATGTTTGGCACTTTGAAGGAAATCATTTTTTAGAATTTCTGTCACCAGTAAAATTTGTTATTAAATAACATCGAGGTACGTTTCGATTTTTTTTCTGTACGTCAAAGGGAAGCTCAATTTTTGAAACCCAAAATTTCAAAGTCCTTTCATCCCTCCGACCAAAGCGTTTGTCGAAATGTGAAAATACGAGACAAAGATGTTTCCGAGCTTCATATCGCGCCACAGATATATCGAAATCATGCTCTGACAATCGTACAATGTCCCCAGACAGTTTTTTTTAAAGTCGCCCCAGTTGCAATGTTAAAATAAGAATCAAGCTTCAGTTAAGAAAAAGAAGATAATATAGAAAACATCTAGAATCTAATGCTATTTTCAGTGTTTCTTGAAAAAGTCATTTTCTATGATACTTCCATTCTCCTAATCACAATCCTCGTTCAAATTTACATAATCCTCCACAGTATACTTATAGAATAGCCTCCCCATCCTCGTCGCACATAAAATCTCACGTATTACTTCAGCAAAGCACTAAAAAAGAAATAAAAAAGTACTACACAAAGAATCCACAGTGTATTTATAAAATAATAAACTTCGTATCACCGCGAATGTCACGTGTCGTTTCAACAAAGTACCGAAGAAAAAAGAACTACTGCACTGATAATCCAGAGACTATTTATAAAACAAAAAACTTCCTCTCAACACACATAGAATCTCACAAATTATTTCAACAAAGCACTAAAATAAAACAAGAAAATTCACAAATAATCCACAGAATATTTACAAAACGAAAAACTTCCTCTCA